TATTTGTTCTTTAAACTTTACTGTAGATTCTTTGCACTCTAAATATTAGTGTAGATTCTTTGCACTCTAAACATTACTTTAGATTCTTTGTACTCTAAACATTAGTGTAGATTCTTTATACTCTAAACATTAGTGTAGATTCTTTGTACTCTAAACATTAGTGTAGATTCTTTATACTCTAAACATTAGTGTAGATTCTTTGCACTCTAAATATTAGTGTAGATTCTTTGCACTCTAAACATTACTGTAGATTCTTTGTACTCTAAACATTAGTGTAGATTCTTTATACTCTAAACATTAGTGTAGATTCTTTATACTCTAAACATTAGTATAGATTCTTTGTACTCTAAACATTAGTGTAGATTCTTTGCACTCTAAACATTAGTGTAGATTCTTTGTACTCTAAACATTAGTGTAGATTATTTGTACTCCAAACATTAGTGTATATTCTTTATACTCTAAACATTAGTGTAGATTATTTATACTCTAAACATTACCGTAGATTATTTGTACTCTAAACAATCCTTAAGATGCCCCAACATTCACAGACTGTGTTTATTTTTTTATTTTTTTTTGAAATTCGTGACAATTTAAAGACAAAGCTTGTTAAGGAAGAAACTGTACCGTAAAATAAATTAAGTTTTAATCAATATCTTGACCTGAGCACCACAAGAAATACAATAATGAGAGTAAGTTATTTAAATATGCATTACCTTCTCAAGTCTTACAATTACATGTTTTAGCTTTACAGAAAAAACAACAGCACACAAACAAATATATTAAGCATACAATAATTTAACAGAAATGTTGAAAAAAAGATTTTGTGGATGATCAAATACATAAAAAATGTTTCTAATAAGCATTGCACACGTGGAAAAATCTGATTACAGAAACACGTACCGCAACTTTAATTTTATAATATCCTTTGTAATACTAAGTGTTTATCCTGTGTAATACTAAGTGTTTATTCTTTGTAATACTGAGTGTTTATCCAGTGTAATACTAGGTGTTTATGTTGTGTAACATTACGTTTTATCCTGTGTAATACTAGGTGTTCAAGTTGTGTAACATTTAGTGTTTATCCTGTGTAATACTAAGTGTTTATCCTTTGTAATACTGAGTGTTTATCCTTTGTAATACTGAGTGTTTATCCAGTGTAATACTAGGTGTTTATGTTGTGTAACATTAAGTGTTTATCCTGTGCAATACTAGGTGTTCATGTTGTGTAACATTTAGTGTTTATCCTGTGTAATACTAGGTGTTTATGTTGTGTAACATTAAGTGTTTATCCTGTGTAATACTAGGTGTTTATGTTGTGTAACACTAAGTGTTTATCCTGTGTAATACTAGGTGTTTATGTTGTGTAACATTAAGTGTTTATCCTGTGTAATACTAGGTGTTCATGTTGTGTAACATTAAGTGTTTATCCTGTGTAATACTAGATGTTTATGTTGTGTAACATTAAGTGTTTATCCTGTGTAATACTATTTATCACCTTCCTAATAAGGTTCAAACAACAACCACCCCAATAACAAACATTTGTGCCAATTAAGGTAGAAGTACACATTAGTTATTGGAAACAACACTGAAGTATGCGCTTGACTAGATTAAATGGGATCATTTTCCATCTCGAAATATTTCCAAAACCTGCTTTATAAGCTCCAGTGATAACCTGCTTTATAAGCTCCAGTGGACGGAAACAGTATTAACGTTAAACCTCGATCTACTGATGTTTACAGAAACGATACGAATGTTTTCTCTCTGTCACTTAGTTTGAGTGGCGTTTTCTCCCAGCAGCCAGTAGGTTGTCATTTTTCCTTTCCCCTAAGTAACAGATAAAACAGAAATAACAGTGAATGTCATGTGTCTAGTATGATTCATATACGATTAAACATCCACACAAGAACACTTCAAATGACGAAAGGCACGTGTATATACAAGATGCGGGCATTGTTTCTTTAACATTACTGACTTCATGACCTAAGATATATTATGATCAACATCAAGGTTATCTAGATAAGCTGATAAAAAGCACGTTTACACAGTTACAACAAGACAAGAACAAACTGCTATGCTTTTGTCTACCAGTAGTACCATGTTACAACACGAGAACTATTGGTATCCTGGATAAGAATAAACTGCTATGTTTTTGTCTACCAGTAGTACCACGTTACAACATGACAAGAACAAACTGCTATGCTTTTGTCTACCAGTAGTACCATGTTACAACACGAGAACTATTGGTATCCTGGATAAGAATAAAGGTACTACTGGTATACAAAAACATAGCAGAACGTTACAACACGAGAACTATTGG